ATTAGTTCCCTTAAAAATGTGAGAATTCATTACTAACAGGAGTCAAAGCGCATGATGCCTTCATCCGAGATTTCCTGTTGATCATCTTCAACTACTTAAAATACTAGTATTATATATCCAAAATTTATCCTACCGCCTTGATCATATACTTAATTTGAGAAATCACTTGACAGACTCGAAGTTATTCAGTGTTGAAGTAAATTCTATTCTTCTTTCGCTTTTCAAAATAACAGCCAGTTTTTCACGTTGATTACGTCTTCATCAATTAACAATAAACCAGGAGGAGTCCCATAATAGGACGAAACGGTCGTCCAGTGCTTCCAGGTTTTTCATGGTGATCTAGTTTCAATTGACTAATGATTTCAACCATGAAAAATGCTGAAATCTCCACAATACCCTTTCTGAATAAACCATGATATTTATCTGAAATCATCGAATATCTCTTTTCCATCCAGAAAATGCAAACGAACAGAATTGTGATCTAGTTGTTCATAATGAAAGGAAGAAATCATATTTAATTGTAGTATAATTTAATATTTGTTTTAATGTAGAAACATTGATTTGCTTTTGTAAATACTTGATAAACACATATTTTGTTTGCCTCATCATAGGACAATACAAATCAGAATCTATTTTTGTGTTTAGACATCCAAAAGTATTAAAAATAAACACATGATATGAATGTGTTTATCAAAGAAAAGGACAAATTCAAGTTAATTCAATAGATGCAATATAATTGACACCAGTGAATAGATGTCATTGTATTGGTTTCTTCCTCAGAAATCGATTTTTAAGAAACAAAAAAATAGTTTGATTTGTTTATTCTGGTTAGCGTATTTTAGCAAGAGTGTTTCTACGAGATGGGATTGCCGACCCCATACCCAACCTTCCTCCTTTATCCGGGCTTGGGATCAGCAGCAACTCTAGAAGAGCTACTGGAAGAGTTTTTTTTTTAAAAACGATCAAACCTATATTTTATTTTTTCTCATATTACAAAGTACAATATTATAGAAAGTTAATATTTCAAAGTTGAAATCATGAGTCAATTGAAGCTAGACCACCATCGAAAACCTGGAAGCACTGGACGGCCGTTTCGTCCTACTATGGGACTCCTCAGCAGTGCGCATCCACGATGGTGGTCTAGCTTCAATTGACTCATGATTTCAACTTTGAAATATACTGAAATCTCCACAAATCCCCTTCTGATTAGAAAGTTAATAGTTAACATCTTATTGACATGTTCATTGTTTCTGACTCGGTTTAAACAAACTTTGACATTAGTTTATGATAGCATCAGTGTAATTGGTCAGTTTTCTTTACATCTACTAAAAAAAAGTTAGATAAGTTAGTGGTTTTTCAGTATATTTAAAGCAAGCAATTCATCATTTTAAACATTGAACTCAGGGATTAGTGAATTACAACTGGTTACTTTATAATTAATCATTTCTTTCTCGTTGTCCAAATCAAATCATGCAAGTGTTCGTAAAACATTTGCAATTCTCCATCGTTCAAGAATAAATTTGACTAATCCTTTCCAAATAATAATCATAAGTAGGATACCTGTTTGACAAGTTAATAGGTATAGTGACTAAATAGCTCATGACAATAACCTTTTGGTGAGTACTGTTATAAGGTGCGGTGTCCAAAATCTGATACCGATACACGGGATGCTACGCACCAAACTGACTACTTGCGCGACAAAGTGTATTGGACTACCGGATGAAATGCACGAATACTTGTTCATATATATATATACCACTCTAACCTTAGGAAAGTGACCCATTGACCCAATAAAGTGCATTTGACCTTTAGGACAATTCTGATTCCCATCGATTGACCTTTTGCTACTTCTGATTGGCTCTCCATATCAAGTATTTCCATAATTATTTGTTTTGAGTGAACATCAGTGGTTACACCTATCTGATGAGTCCTATCAAGAATGAAATATCAGTCGTTGTTTAATTGGTAACCAAGTTGCTGGTAGTTTTTCATTCTCATATTCACACTTTTAATCAAGGTTCATATCAATATACACTAAAATATTATTTAGGAATAAATATAATTATTGAATGCTAAGGATAATCAAACTACTTATCAGTTGCATTACATCTAATGTATTAATAAACTTTCATAGGTCGCTTGTTTGGCAATATACAGTATTAATTAAATAAAAATTGATTGGTCATAAATGTTTCTGTACTGTTTAGGATTCAGATGTCTCACCGTTGCTGTAATTATACAACGATGACTATAAATATTATATTTGTTCGTGATGTAGATCGTGTTTTAATTCCCTTTTAACTGATCCCACAGCCAACAAACATTTCAGATAAAGTATAATCAAATAACTGTGTGAATAGGATAACTGCAGTGTACCGAACGGTGTAGGAACCAGCTATCTAATTATATGCTGAGTTCAAATGGTATGATTGTTTATGATAAAAAAAACTACATCCATAACATTTTCAGATTATATTAGAAATTTTACTTACTTACTTACTTACGCCTGTTACTCCCAATGGAGCATACGGCACCGACCAGCATTCTCCAACCTACTCAATCCTGGGCCTTCTTTTCTAGTTTTATCCAGTTTTTGTTCATTCTTCTCATGTCTGTCTCTATTTCTCGGCGTAATGTGTTCTTTGGTCTTCCCCTTCTTTGTTGGCCTTCAGGATTCCATGTGAGGGCTTGTCTAAAAACTTCTCTAAAAGCGCTAACCAGAAAATTAGAAATCTTAGTTACTTTTATTAAACATAATGTTTTTTAAACAAATCTTCACACTTTTTTTCCCTTTAAGGTCACGTCACTTAACAGAAAATCATTATACTAACTAATCAATAAATCAGTAAGGTTACGAAAGAACAAAATCAATCACAAATCTTCTCTCTTTTCTTATTCTATCTCGGAAATTAAATTTATCTGGTAGGAACTGAGTTGTATAAGCTTCTATTCATACAATATAGCCTGATAAATAGAGAGAAAAAAAGGGGATATACCAGATATTCATTTTCGACACAACTTTTCATTAATCTCTTTAAGTTCTTGTCAGAAATAAGGTGATTTGTCTCAGGTAATGTTTGTTTAGGCAGATTACATGTTCATAGTAATAATGATACAAAAACCACAGAGGAATAATTCAAATACTTACCATTGATGATATAAGCATCTTACCCATCAAACAATTTAGTTTTTATAGGGACTCAATAATTTATTGGATAACACATTGGTTTTCGAAGTAAAGGGCATTGGGTTCATGTCTCAATGTGATACAGGTTCATCAATTGATGAATACAAAACGGGATGAAACTTACGTCTTAGATAAAACGGCTAGCCATAATCCATCTATTCTAGATAATGGTGTTTATTTCATTCAGTACTGTGAATTTTGTTATAGAATTCTCAACAGTAATTATGCAGTATTGCAACAAATTATTTAGAACATTTCATGAATGATATCTAGCGTTCAATATCAGCTACCCATCTTCAGTTGTAGAGGTTTTCTACGGCTGCTACAATGTCCATTGTTATCGATTGCATATTTTATGCCTAACATCAAATGTAGTTTCCCCTCATTTCTTCAAAGGATGAACAAAGTGGAGAGCTTGCCACCTAATTTATTGTTTCCATTTGAGATTCTAAACTAACTTGAAATAAGAACCTTTATTAGAATACTTGTAAAATCGTAAAATGAGAAGTCTAAACGTTTCAGCAAACGTCTCTCACTTACGTCATAAAGTGATATTTTGATATTTCGAAACCTGAGCTTTATAATGATATCCTAAGAAAACAGCATATATGTAATATTCTTATGAAGGAAATATAATGGGTCACTAATTATGATTATTTAAGTACATCGCAGAAGAAAATTATTATCAGAAGGGTTTTTGTGGAGATCTCTGTAATTTTATAGTTGAAATTATCATTCATTAAAGGTGGAGCATCATGGAAAACCTGGAAGCACTGGACAGCTGTTTCGTCCTATTGTGTGACTCCTCAGTTTAACCAGGTCTGTTGTGATGTATCAACTCTCTGAAAACAACGGTGAACGGTTGCTCAATTTCGTGGATTGGTTGCAGTTAGACATTAACTTCGTTGGATGCTGGCCAGTTCAGTGGCCTAGTGGTTAAGCACTTGCGCGCGAGACTGATAGTTCTTGTGTTCGAATCTCGCGAGGCGGTATCGTAGATGTTCACTGTTGAGGAGTCCCACAATAGGACGAAACGGCCGACCAGTGCTTCCAGGTTTTCCATTGTGATCTAGCTTCAATTGATTCATGATTTCAACTATATAAGAAAATTATTAATTTTAATGAACCAACAAATCTGATTTCAATATCCTATCACAACAAATTAAGAAAAAAAAAGAAGCTAATTACACATTTGTACTTTAGTTATTATATGAGTATATTTACTATCGACTGTAGATGAAAAGGATGAATAACAAGTGGAAAGAACTGAAAAGGATGGGAATCCTGGTGGGCGGTCTATGCTCCTCCACGAGCGGTAACAGGCGTAAGTAAGTAAGTAGATGAAGAAGAAAGTCAACATCTGAAAAAAGGAAAAAGAAATAGGAATTTATTCAGTATAAGTTTGATCTAGTTGATGTGTATATTTAATGATTATAACATGACCATGATGGTGTTACAGACATATCTATAATGAAGGTCAAATAATGAACTATATTTAGCAATTAAGCTTAGGATTGGATTAAATTCATGTCTTATTCCAACCAATCATAATAAAATGGTCACTATATGTACACTATATGTCACAATATATACAGGACAATAAGTTGAATTGACCAATCAAAATGAGTTATTTTTATTATATGGGTTATTTTAATATGATTTGTTGAAATTGTGCAATTTCGATTAGATGTACTTACTGTGAAGGCTTGTGATTGTGAATATCATTCACATAATGAAGTTACTCTTGAGTACTCAATGTGATCCTTTCATGTATAACTTTATCATAATCAAATACTTGTAATTTATTAATGAAATGGGAACTCTTGTTGGACAGCGGTATAATTTAGGAAGCAAATGTACTGGATCCCTTGGAGAACTAAATAATTGTGGATACTCATCAAACACCAGTGAGGATTTGATTGAACAAAGTTGGGATACTGAATTGAATAATTCATCATTTCCTTCTTGGATGTCTAAGAGTAATCAAACTATGGGTCTTGATGAAAGATCATTGAAAACATCATTTATGAGCAGTCTCATTCTGGATATGCAAGATTTTTCCAAAACTGATATTTTCACAGAAACATCTAATAGTCATAATTCTGCAAATTTACTTAGTTTAACACAGTTATTGGGATTAAGCTGCCTAATGAACTTCATTATGTGTAAATCTCGTCAAACCAGTACAAATGCTGAACTTGTTGGAAATGTCCATTCATTTACGGATTATATTTTTGCACAATCTCAATTAGAGCGAAAAGCTAGAAGGCGTAGTCATTACCCTATATTAAAAACTTTTTCCTATTCGAATTCACTAAATGCTAGTTTAACAAGTTTAGTTGAAGCTGATCATGTACATTCTAAATGGGATAAACTTGGAACTTATTTCAGTAAACGACGCAGACGTCGTCACTATAACAGTGAAAGTGGTTTATTCTCACCTGAAAATAACTTATCCTCACTACTCTTACAAGATGTTGAGAATACTGAAAATAAGAATGATGATGAAGAAGATAAACAAAATCTAAATACTATTAATACAGCATCAATACATCTAGAAGAAGCACAAAATATCTCATCAACAAGCTTAGACTTGAAAACAAACAACTTTGGAGGGATGGAGACAAGTGATGAAAAGACTTGCTCACGTTGTCCATCCGAAGATAATTGCCTTTCACAAGACACAAATGAAAATGATACTCAGTTTTCTCTGTCAGCTGAATATCAAAATCTCACTTGTATAAATGAATTACAAAATGAAATACCTTTAGAAAACATTACAAATTCGACTGAATCAGATGATGGACATAGTTTATTACATGTTGACTCTTTTAAACCTGTAAATAACATTGTGAATAAGCCAATTACACGCTCATTAACATCGAAAAGTAATGTGAAAATCAATAAATCTGTATCATTTGCTGATGAAGTTGGAAAATCCCTAACTGAAATATTTACACTATGCGATGATAATGAATTATGTAATGGATTCTCAGGTATCATTTTGATTTGTTTAGTCTTTGTGTTTTGTAAAAGAACATTATTATCCATTTTTTATTTACGAACTGAAGTCAGCTGAGGAACTATTTGAAACACTGATGCTAACCTGTTAGGAAAAAAATCGATTTTCTTACTGAACTAATGTACAAAGTCTACTCAGCTATGTAATAATCGTATGCTCACTAATGACTGACTCCAATAATGACCCTTGTAAATCTAGTGAAGTCATGTTTGATGGAATTCAATCATGTGATATATTCATCACATAATAATGTTCATGGTTTATCATGAAGAAGCTTACATTGTGAAATTTGAACTGTTGAGTTCTTTCCAAAGTCATCTATTGAAAAGGTAACATGTGTGTTATAGAATGGGGAAACCCTGGCTTCGAGATCTGGGAAGGTCAGGGTTTACACTACTGAACATTCCAAAACTAGGCTCACAACAGCTGTCTGGTGTTATATAGTTTTTAACAATCCCTCAGCTAATTTCACCTATTATTTGACATCAGTCGATGCAATCACTGGCCACTGGTTTAAGACGTCTTGCGAGTTGTAGATTATTTAGTCTATACGAGAACCACGACTAATGGTTGGAGAAGTTGTGAGACTGCTCAAAATCGACCACAGTGGTACAGATGCATTCATTATTTATCTTATAAATATTGAGTTCCGGTATTCCTTCATATATATCTTTTCACTCTGTCTTTTCAAACAATGTTCTCAATGAATAGTCCTTCTTCCTATCATTACTATCAGATAATTTCAACTCCCTTAGTATTTCTTTTATTGATTTTTCTCTTTGTGCTGATGCAGTATGGAGACTTGGTTAAAGATGGATTTATCCAAGGTACTGAGTTGATTATGACTCACTGACCGACTGATTGACATTAAACTAAACCATGAAACCTACTTAGCCAAACAAAGAACTGTAGGCAGAAGTTCAATCTTCAATAGTATCTGATATATTGTTTATTCATTTATTCATTGGAACATAAATATTGGTACAAAGGGGCACCAAATATATATGCGCCGCACAAATCTCATTTGATTTGTGTGAGGGCTGTGATACTGACCACGTGCCCGAACCGAAACAGGTGGTTTTCTCAGGGAACCACACCCCCAGCCTTTGACCTAAAGATCTGATCCACAAGGCAGTGGAGCATAGTGACGAGATGCAGTTCCATCGTAGCCGGTGACCAACGATTGATTCATACGCCATTTGTTTCCTCAGAATACTAGAGGCCGTGTGCACCATTTTATTTGTAATCAGGGTTTTCCAACTCCCCTAGGTGAACTTTGCGTGTCCACCAACCCGGTTAAAGCGCCGGACATTCGCCTTTCGTCCTCTCGATTTCGTAAATAACAGTAATGCCACGAGAAGGCAGTTAGTAGGACTTCCCTGACAGAGGCTATATACACGTGGCCATGTGAGTGCACTTTGAGAATGAAAGTCGACTCTATCCACCCTCAGTAGTATACGGTGATGCAGTGGTCAGTTCTAACAATACATAATAACCAGCTTTAATCAGCTACTCAAGGATACAAAATAGTTATTTTATTCCCACCTTATTATAAATTGTAGTTGCTTGCCAGCTTTTCCACTTCAGCTTAGTATTATTAAGAATTGACATAACTTGCACTGATAAGTTAGTAAGTAACGTTTTATGGTTTATTTAACCACTTATTTACTTTCAGAATAGTAGCTTTTGTGTTGATATTACTTTTTCTAATATATGTGTTTGTATCAGTCTCACTATTTCATACGTACTCCATTTTTACCTCACTAGCGGATAGCTAAAGAGTAGATAATGTAATTATGTTTAGTCCTCAACATGCATCAATTCATGGTGTTCGAAATTTACCCACCAAGAGTATTTATTTATTTATTTGAAGACATAAATATTAGTACAAAGCTGCACCGAATACATATGCGACACACTAGTCACTAAGCCACGTGATTAGATCAACAGAAAACCTAAGAACTGAGTCTTCTAGTAATTATCGGTCAAATTATGGATAATAATCCTACGACGAAGATAGTGACCTCTGTCATGCACAATTGTAACTGAAGTGAAACATTTCAAGATAAAAATGTTTGAGAACTCTGGCTCAACAATCACACAATTAGTAGTGATAAACTTCACATTGGAACTTTGTACTGCATTCCATGATTCATATTTAAACTACCTTGTTCCAGTCAGTTCCCTTGCGGAATCTTAAAAAGTGTTCTGTTCAGTAGAACAGAAAAGTAATAATATAATTGTCAACCAAATTACATTATTCTTCTTATACTCTAATGTTTGATTGTGAATGATCGGACATCACGGACATGCACTTTCCTTCTTGAACATTTATCAGCAAATTTAGAATAAAGTAGATAGGATATAGCCAGAAGTGGGATCCAGGACGTGCGTTTCGTCCTATTTAGGATTCGTCAGCTGGATTTACCCTTAGTTGAAGTTCACTCTGGAATTGATCAGACTTCAGTCAAAATATCAACTACAAGATAATTCAATTCATTTGTGTAAAATCAAAAAGTGCTTATCAGCTAAATGCATATGGTACCTTGGGAAAAATTATGTCATCACGAACACTCAAGCTCCCTTCACTCGATGCAGTCCTAAAAATTGATAACATTATGATATCAATCTTAAACAACAACATTACAGGTTTTCCACTGGTTATATTTAGTCATTCAACACTTGATTACTTGATTACATACTTACTTACGCCTGTTAACTCTTGTCGAGGAGCATAGACCGCTCACCAGCATTCTCCATCCAACTCTGTCCTCGACAATCCTTTCCAGTCACTCCCAGTTACTACTCATCCTTTTCATGTCTGCTTTCAAGCTCCGAAGTAGTATGTTCTTCAGCCTTTCTCTTTCCCGTTTCCCTTCATGATTCCAAGTTACGGCATGCCTCCTAATGCAGTTTGGCGATTTTCACATTGCATTTCCTATCAATTTGCAGTAACTCTTCCTAATCTCCTCCTCAGCTGGAAGCCGGTGTGTTCTCTCCCACAGTAGGTTGTTGTTGATGGTATGCGTTCAACGGACATTGAGTATCTTACTTAGACAACCGTTTATAAATTCTTGTACCTTTTCGACAATGGTTGTAGTAGTTCTCCACATTGCATCTCCGTACAATATAACTAACTGTCTTGACGTTCGTATTGAAGATTGTGACTTCGATGTTGGCTTGCACACAGTTGTTTTCAGTTCCATGTATTCTCCAATTTTACGAATGCGACCTTTGCTTTGCCGATTCTTACCTTGACATATTCATCGGATCCTCCACCCTCAGCGATGATGCTGCTGACCAGCTACGTGAAAGATTCAACATCTTATAGAACCTCTCCATCAATTGTGATTGTGTTGGTGTTCCCCTTGTTGTATTTGAGGATATTGCCTTTTCCTTTGTGTTTGTTGAGGTCCACTGATGCAGAGGCATCTGCCACACTAGTTGTCTTCGTCTGGATTTGTTTGTGTGTGTGTGTGTGTAGGATAGGATTGCCAGATCATGTGCAAAGTGCAAATCTTCTGCTTGATTCCGAGCTGTCCATTGTATTACGTGTCTCTCTTCACATGTCGAGGTCTTCATAATCCAGTCAACCACCAGAAGACAGATAAAGGGGTAGAGTAAGCAGCCTTGTCTGACTGCTGTCCATACTCGGATTGCATCTGTCAGCTGTCCTCCATACATGACTTTGCACTGTAGTCCATCATATGAGCTCCGAATAATTTTGAGAATCTACTGAGGAACTCCATAGTGTCGAAGAAGGTTCCATAATGTTCTCCGGTTCATACTGTCAAACGCTTTCTCATAGTCAAGGAAGAGACAACACAATGTTGGCGGTGCCAGAAGAAGTTTTCAACGGTATGTTGTTGAAGCAGATGAAACATTCATTGGACGGCCATCTTCGAGACTAACAGATTTTATTCCTTAAGAATTATTCGTACACAGACCGAATCATACTACTACGGATCATTGCTGATCAATCGATTGGACGGGATTCGTCACTATACACTAAACACTAAACGGTATAAAATTTGGTGTCAAGTCACTAAGTCCATTGCCTGAATTGTAAATTGAAACTAGATTTCATGTTTATCACTATCGTCAACGGTGGCCCTAAAGTAAAAGAGCTCACCTGTCACTTAGCCTCAGGCTCAAATCGCATCCCAACTGCTTCGGTCTTTTCAACTGGATAGTACCATTACCCCTCACAATTAACGTGTGGTTCATACCCAAGTACCCGGCAAATAAACTAAACGACCACTTTTTTGTTGATTAGTATCGTACTATTTCTTCTTCTAGGACTCATGATCGCTGCATAATGACCACCTCAAAGTGGTCGATGATGTTAGTACAGTACTATAAAGTAGCTTAAAATAGGGATGTAAACTAGTGGATTTCAACTCAGTCATATAAATTGCAACGTACTGTCAGATAAAAATGGAAGTTTTAGGTCTAATCTCTGTCATAGTTATGTGTCCATATTCCTGATGGGTCTAAAACTAGAATAAATCAACTGTTTAAAGTTTGCCCCATTGTTTTGTGGTGATCTGATTAATGTCAGTGAACTATTTTCAAATGCCAACTTTCATAGTAGTCAATGTGACTGGCTAATCAATGAAACACTGATCTCATTTTGAATATGTTACTGTAATCTACGTTGATAGGTCATGTATCAACCGGTTTACCGGTAAGTATTATTAACGATATTACCATATGTATTCTGAAACAAATATTTTTTTAACAGTCTAACCTGATATAGTTCACGCTACTTTTAGTGAAATCAAATCCTAATTCTAATATCAATTATGGCGTGATGATTTAATTATCTCACTAAGATTAATTTAAATCTGTAGGTTAACTGACTATATAGCTTGTCTTTATTATTCGCAATCATCTTATAAGTAAATGGTAGTATATATATTAACTTATTTATTGGATCATGTTAGTAAATGACTCACTTAGCTAAATCCAAGA